TAATGGATGTGCGAATTACCCGACGCATTTCAAATCATGTGTGGGCCCCAGATTCTTTCATCAAGCGTGCTTGGAACTTTAGAGTTGTGGAGCAATTCAACAGTTCAAGGATGTGAGGAGTGCATCGTGGGTGACATTCGAGCGCTTGGGAGGCGAAGTTGCCGAGTTGAGCACAGTATGTTTGGGGTCGGAGGTCCGTGACAGCCCCTGTGGCGGTGAACGTAGTTTTTTTTCACGGTCTTCACACACATGTTTGTGTTGGATGTGGGCAAACGTGGTGTTGTCTACCCAGCGAGTCGTTATTGTCGTGTGCAAGATATGCACAAGTAGTTGGCATAGAGTCCTCAATATAATCTTAGAGGCCTGTACGACATCTTCTGACCCATTCAGGCGCTTTCGGTACACAAGTATTACTCTCTGGGGGGTGAAAGATGTCCGTTTTCGTTTTTGTTCGTCTCCATTTTCTTCCTCGTCTTGCCCTTCCTCTTCATCGTATTCGTCTCGAGGCTACTTGAGTCGAGTGATCGCACGGAAGGGGAAGGGAATATGGAATATTTGTAGCATATGTTTGTGATCACACCGAGCGTTTGGAAGTTGATGTTCGCCTCTTTAACCCGGGGAAATGGCGAAGCCCCGCAGGCACGTTCGTATACGAAGAGGATTTGGAGGTCGGCGGAAGGCAAAACGCAGATTAACGAAAGAAGCACATCGCATTGTCCAAACTCAGTGTTGTTGGTGGTCGTCTGCGTTGTTTTTGGCTTGTCCTCCTGCGTTAGTGCTCCGCCCGCGACCCCGCCGCAAGAAGTCTCATTGGAGGTTCACGGCAGGTCTGGCGCCACGCTGAGGGACCTTTTAAAATTGCACTCTCATCATCAGAACACGGTGCGGAGAGGGAGAGGAATCAAAGGAGGGGCCGGGATGGAAGGGCAGTTTATCAAGGAGGGGAACCGGGAGGGGATGAAGTTGGGAAGGAGGAGGATGAGGAAGAAGGGGCCATATACGTCCTCCATTTGAGGGATGCGTTCCCAGGCAGATGGCCCCGAGAAGCAGATGTGCAGGGGGAGGCGTCGACGGTCTGTTGCCTTGGATTGTTTGATGCTCTGAGGGTCTGTAATACTCCATGAGCGTGTGTTGATGAGCACCTTCCGTCGCGATGGTTGTGCACTGTTGCTTGTTCTGCCACCTGGTGTTTTCGGCATGTTCCGCAGATGTGATTGGCTTGCGCTATGTCTGTCCAGGTACCTTTCCCCAGCTTGCACGCGGCCCCCTTCAATATTTGCACTGCTTGTTATTCGGGAGCACTGGCAGCATTGGGGAGCTTAGATGTCACGGATTCGGTGTTGCTTGTTCGGTTGAATGTGGTTGTTGTTGGGGAATGAGCGTTATTTCGTGTTTGTTTTTGGTGGAAAAACGGGCATGCCGCTTAGAATGGGCGAGAGCGAGTTGTGTGGAGAGTGAATGCGTCGCTTCTGGAACAGCCGACGAGTTTGTGCGATAGTTGATTCTGCATGAGCGTGATCCGCCTTTCCTCGCGAGACTACATGGTGTCTTGGCTCGTGCTCTGTTTAGCATGCCTTTGCGCCGTGCTCAAGCTCACAAATGGAGACGCGCGGTCGCCCGTCCCGAAGTTTCAGACGTATGACTGCTCCCGCATGAGATTGTCGCCGCTGCCCTCGCTTGACGATGCAGATCCCCACCCGTGTGCGGCAGGTCCGCGACGCGTAGGCGTGGCGGCGACCCCGGCGCGGGCGTTCAAGGCTCAACGCCTTCAGCGGCCTGGACTCGGCCGACGTCCGAAGATCCGCACAATCGGAAAGCCAGTGTCGTTCAGGGTTGAACGATCCACGAGGTGCCAGCTCGGCATGGTTTTATGCAATCGCTCCGCTCACTCCGCCGGCCCTCGAGCGCTCTATGGGGCCTCTTTGAAGCCTCTTGGGGGCCTCTTTGGGGCCTCCTATGGGCCTCTTGGGGGCCTCTTGGGGGTCTCTTGGGGCTCCTTGGCGGCGTCTTGGGGCCCCCTCGGGCCTCTTTGGGGGGTCTTGGGGGCCTCCTGGGGCGGGGTAGTCGAGTGCACCCCCCTCGGAGGCGATCCTCGTGAGGGATGTCGAAAAAGGCCCTCAAAACCATCTCTGAGTAGACCTGCTCGGGCTGCGGTCGGGATACTTTTCGCCGGGGGACCCCCAGGGGCCGCCCCGCGCGCGCGAACTAGAAATATTGTTAACCAGTTACCGGAGATCTTAGCACGCCTCTGGCCCGTTGGGCCGGCGAATTTGATGGAAGTTGTGGATTTCACTGAAAGTCTTATTTTTGTTCACGTTTGGCGGCCATCAGCGGCGAACCGCGGGTGATTGGTGGACGATTGGCGCGGGCCGTGTGCCGTTGTTTGCCGCTAGCTGGTTGCCTCTATTTGCGAGTATCTACCGTCATCTTGGCTAAAGCAGGTTTCCAGAAAAACGCATGTAAGGCATGGCGTGCCCTTCCCGCGAGCCGCCTTGGACGGCTCGAGCCGGCGCGCGCTGCCGGCCATGGTCGCGGGAGCTTCGGCGAGGGTGGCGGCCGCCCAGGCCGCGCGCGGCCGGGCAGCGGGCTCCTGAGTGCGCCCGCCGGAGGGCCTCAGACCCCCAACGTTTCGTCACACTCACGACGGACGGTGTTCTGGCCGTCTTCGGCAAACAAGCCACTCAGGGTGGAGAGCTGGCCCTGGGGGAGAAAGGTCCAGGCCTCCAGGGGCCCCGTATTGGGAAATTCGAGGCATCGGAAGTCCGGGGGGGCTCCGAGCGAGGTCGGGGATTGGCGTGGCCATGCCCCCCCGTTGTCTTCCGCACCTTGAGTGTTGGGGCTGGTCGGGAGGCCCAGGCGCTGCGCTTCGGGGAGGCCCGAAACGGGTGTGGGCGGCGGTCGCAGGAGGAACACATACCGATCCTACGCCTCCTTGGTCGGGCTAGACGAAAGGTTAGGATAGTGAAAGGAGGGGTCACGAAATCTGCTGCATGCAGACGGTTTCGATACATTGGCGCCAGGAGGCGCCAGGAAGATTAGCTACCTGAGCTGATTATCCATCCTACCCTTTGCTATCCTACCCTTTTGTCCCCTACGAATGTGATCGAAGCTTTGCGCCGCATCGCCGATGCATTGGCCATTCGGCTCGGTTTTGAGCCCGATTTCCTCCACGCCGGCGATGCGGTGCGATCCTCCGACCCCATCTCTTCGGACCTCATTGGGGAGGCCTCTATGGGGCCGCGGCCCATCCCTCGTCGCCTCTCCACGCCATCTTGGTCAGAGCGCGCCTGCGGAGAGGTCATGGAGCAGCGGTGTGGGTATTTCTTCTGCTCCTCCAGACGGGGGGGGGGGGGAAGGGCCGGTTGAATGCCGCTGGTGTCGGCCGCGGTGCCCAGCAGCTTTGTCGATTCATCGTCGCCAACAGTGCCTCGAGGCGCCTTGAAGCAGTGCAGCTCAGCAGCTTGCGTCTGACCCCCCCGCCTCGTCCCCCTCGAGTGGTCGGGAGGTCCATGCTGCGCGGCCTGACCACTGCACTGCAAATTGCTATCTTGACTATCTGTGTCCTTGAGGAGGTCGAGCGCATGCAGGTAGCAGGTAGCAGTATGTCCAGATGTGGCATTGTCGGAGGAGCCCGCGAACTGGTAAGCAAGCAGTGGAGCTCCAGTGATCCGCCGTGTGGAAAGCCGTGCGAGGCGATGAAGTTCCGATTATGAAACCAACGCGACACATGTAGAAACGCTTCTGCGAACCAAGGGTTGACTTGACAAGTCAAACACGCAGTGCACAGACGCATCGAGCAAGTCCCGAATCGCGGTCCGAACCAAGGCGTTCAAGTTATGTGAATTGGTACGTGGGGTCTGGTGTGTTGTTTGAGATCCCTTGCTACGGCGAAGCACGGTGTGTTGAGCGTTTTGGTCATGAAAGCGACGAGGCATCGAGCATATGTTGTGGCATCGAGCATGATATGTTACGTTGGTGACGCGTGGTGTGAGTGTGTGTGTGTGATGCTCTCGGTTTCAGACCACAGCTGGACAATCAAGGCGATACAGAAAACCAGCTCCCGTTGGAGTGGCATCACCTTCTCTGGGTCGCATGGATGGCGGCTTCGTCGTTGAAAGGCTTGTATCCACGGCCAGCTTGATGATCAGCTCAATGTGTGGCGAGTGGGCTAAATTCCCAGACATATTCGGATACCTTTAGAGTTTCCATGAGCCTCTCTGGGTCCGTCTTGGATCCTTCTCAGTCTCGAGTTCTCTTGAAACCGTCTCAAGTCTCAGGGGCGGCCAAGAGGGGGTAATGATTTGGCGGGAGACATGGTATCTCCCAAGATCTCATGGCGCCTCTTCTTCCTCCTATACGTCCCTTGGTCCCCCCTCGTCCGCGCGCATGCTTGGGGCCACAATGTTCGAGCCCTTCTCTTGGACGGCCCCCCGCTTGGCCGCCCCCGAAAGCCTTGGCGACGTCCGTGCTCTCTTTTGCGTTTTCTGTGCCTCCTGTGGCTCCTCAGTGGGTTCTCTGTCAGGCTCTCTGGGGCCCTGGCTCTGGGACCCAGACGGCCTGACCGGCACAGTTGGCAGGCTTGGCTGGCCATTCCCATCTGCGGGAGGGGAGGGGCGATGAAGATCCGGGGGAGGGTGGGGGTACTCGGCCACGATCCCTCCGACGTCTGCCAGGGCTCGCCCCTCCGTCGGCGCAGGCTGTGGCCCTCGGCCTGCTAGGCGTGCCGGGCCCGTCGGCGCCCGCCTCTGGCTCGAGCTGTCTGCCTCGAGAGGAGCGGGCCCCCCCTCGTCTGCGGGAAAGACTCGTATCCGTATCCACTGCGTCTGGGAGTTTCGGGTTCCCTTCTCCAGGCACCCGAGGCGCAGGGGATATGGATCAAGATCTAGCCCCCAGAGGCCGGATGCTGCTGTCCATCTCCGCTGCGCCTCGGCGTTGTGGCGCCCCTTCCAGAAAGTCCAAGACGCGGTGGACACGGACACAAGTCTTGCCCACACCGCCGTCGGCAGAGCGCGGCCGCGGGCGGATGGCGCCAGAGATGGCGCGCGGGCTCGCGCGGAGGCGCGGGGATGCCCTGCCCCCTCCGAGGGAGGGGTGCGGCAGTTCCACGCCGCGCTGGCGCGGCGGCGACAGCGAGCCCTGCTCGAAGTGGACGGGAACTTCGGGGGAGGGCGAGTTGAGACAACAGTATCGGGCCTTCGGGGGGACCCTGCGTCGCCTCGGCTGGACGCAGCCCGGAGAACTGGTGCGTGGGAACCCCGGGGGGATCCGAGGGGGCGGATTTTGAGTGGCCGTTGTCTCCATTCGCCCTGCTCCGAGAATTGCGAACGGTCTTTGCTCCCCCTTTCCAGCCTGGAGGACGTCTCAATTTCTATGATTGGCATCGCCCCATCTCGATACCAATCGGAAGGATTCCCTCAGACTGCCATTGCTCTTCTTAGCTGGGATAGAGATAAACTCGAGGCTGGTCACCCCCTCTCTTTTTGTGACCATTTTCCGATCGTGTTTGTTTCCCCCTTGTGGGCGGCCCCGCCGCTCGAGGGGGGGTGTCAGGCAGGCTCACGCCAGGCTGGCGCGGCGGCGACAGCCCAGCCCTGTTCGAGCTGGACGCTCTCATCATCCTCCTCCTCAGCATCATCAGCAGCATCATCATCACCATCACCATCATCAACAACAACATCAACATCACCAGCATCATCATCATCAGCATCATCATCATCACCATCATCATCAACAGCATCATGTTCACCATCACCATCACCATCACCATCGCCATCACCATCTCCATCACCATCACCATAACCATCACCATCACCGCCATCATCATCACCACCACAACCACCACCACCACCACTGCCCGTCACCATCACCATCGGCATCATCATGACGGGGCCTGCTGTCGGTCTCTCTTCTTTATCCGATTGTTATGCTCGGCTGGCTGCCATAACCTGCGACCTAGAGGGCAACGAGTTCGATACCTGAAGACGGCACCGCGATCCGTGACCGGGCGTTGTCAAAATCGAGAGACGGCCGAAGATGGACACTGCCATACGATTTTTTTCACGCGATCAGGCTAACTAGAACTAGCAATCCCCTGTTCAGAGCTCTTGCCCCGGCCGAAGCATTACTGCGCCGGCCGTCCGGTACCGCCGACCCTGAAGACAGCGATCTGTCAGTGAGGGGAAACAACCAGTGGTTGGTGGTGGCGGTGTGGGCAAGACCAGACCCTGGCCTCCAAGGTCTTTGGGGGTCTCTACTTCTGCGAGCCTCTGTCTCGAGGCTGTTCGTAAGCAGAGGCGGAGGCAGACGAGGAACCAGAGGAGGGGGAGCAAGGGAGGGGAGAAGGGGGAGCAAGGGAGGGGAGGAGGAGGAGGAGGAGGAGGAGGAGGTGGAGGAGGAGAAGGAGGAGGAGGAGGAGGAGGAGAATGAGGAGGAGCAGGTGGAGGAGGGAGCCGTTTTGGTGTCTCTTGGGGCATCTGTTGAGCCTCTTGGGGGCCTCTTGGGGCCCCTTGGGGGCCTCTTCGGGGTCTCCTGGGGCCTCTTGGGGGCCTCGTGGGGCCTCCACGGTTCTTCTTGGGGCGGAAGGCTCGGATTTTTGGTTCGGGCTCCCCGTCTTGGGCCCCTCTTGGGGCCCTCTTGGGCCGTCTTGGTAGCCTCTGGGGCCGTCTTGGCGTCTCTTTGAGCCGGTTTAGGCGCCTCTTGGGAGCCTCTTGAGTCGTGTTGGGGCCTTCTTGGGGGCGTCTTGGACTGTCTTCAACGCCGTGAAGGCCGAAAAGTCGTATACGCCAAAAGTGTACGTGTTCCTTTTGGGAAATCAATGATTCGGGCCTCTCGGTAACGTCCTTGGAAGGCTCCGGGGCTACCTGGAGCCATCCCGGAAGCGTTCTTGGAAGCCTCCGTGGCTACTTGGAGACGTCTTGGCGCGATGTTCGAGCCTCTAGTAGGCTCCTTGGAAGCGATGTGGAGCCATCGAGGGCTACATGAGCGATCTTGGAGGTCATCTTCAGGGGGGGGGGTTGTGTATCTGACCCGGGAACCCCCCCCCCGGTGCTCCCCCGGGTCCTCCCCCGGGACTACCCCCCCCCCGCGCCGAGGAAGGTATCAAAGGGAAGGGGCTTCACGTTGCTCAATTTCGGTTTGGACCGAAGCGCTTGAGGAGGAGGCCCCGGAAAAGGAGAAGACGCTATGGGAAAAGGGGACGGACGAGGACGACGACGAAGAGGAGGCAGACGGAGAAGCCTTTTCCACATGCCCCGGCCGAAGCATTATTTAATCGCTTCGCTCATTCCGCCGGCCCATGTAGCCTCATCTCTGCTTTTTGTCCAAGGGATCGTTGTCAATGCAGCGTTGGTGGGGTTTTCTTGGCAGGCGTTTCGGGAGTCTCTTGGAGGCAGTGTTGAAGCCTCTTGAGGTCTCCTGGGGGCTGTTTTGGGGGCCCTGGGGGCTTATTTTTGGGCATCCTGGGGGCTTCTTGGGGCCGTTCGGGGGCTTCTTCGCGAGAAGGCTGCATCCTTCAAACGCAAGTTGTGCATTGCCCTGGAGAGAAATTCGGGGGGATGAGAAGGAGGTGGAGGGCCGAAAAGAAGGGAACGAGGGTGCGCCGTGGCCCCCCCTGCGCCGTCCGATGAAATTTCTAGCCTCGAGGGGCCTGTCCTCCGGCGGGCGCAGGGCGGGGCGCGTCCAGCGCGACGATCGGGGGCTCTCGAACGGTGTGCCGTGTGGTGACGACTCGGGGTTGCGGGCAAGACTCGTGTCCATGTCCCTAGCATTTTCTGGAATTTCAGGCTCCCTTCCCCAGGCACCCGAGGCGCAGTGGATACGCAAAGAGATCTGGCCCTTAGAGGCTAGATTTGTATCCATATCCACTGCGCCTCGGCCTTTAGGCGCCCCTTCCCAGAGAGTCCAAGACGTAGTGGATACGGATATGAATCGTGCCCGCAGGGTTGACCACGCGCTTTTGGAACTCGGATCGTTTTCTGGAGACATCTCGGGCGACCGGGATCTCCAAGGTCTCAAGATTGTGCGGTGGCGGACAGTGCTATGAGGATGTTGGGAATCCGAGGTCACCGCGTGGTCTGTCGCCAGACGGTTCTGGGAACCCCAAGACGAGGACGAGAGGAGCACGGTGCAGGCGTTCAGGGACTGGGCTTCACCAGCTGCCAAAGCTCGGTAAGTGTTGGACGATCTCCGACATCTGAGAGCGGTGATCGTCAACGATTCTAGGCATCCCAGATGCCCTCTCGGCCCCCCGACTTCGGGTCCACTTGGGCCCGACAAAGTCGTGCGACAAGACGCGGGGGAGCCCAGGGGAACCGCAATTAAGACCTGCCAAATTCGAGAAGTTGGGCTCCTGGCTCCTTGAAGACTTCTCAGGACTGAAGACTGAGACTCCAGGGATTTAGCAAAGGACCTGTGGAGGCGTCCACCGCCCACTCCGTGCCCAGAGGCACGGTGACGGATAATGTTGAGCAGTTCAGCGCTTTTGAGGCACTCCATGGGAGTTGCACGCCCAATGATCTCCCCTTGCTCTCTCCCTTTTTGGAGGGTCGGTCTGTCGGTCCTTGAAGTGTCTGTCGATCTCCAGGGGCAAGTAGACATGTCCACATGTATACCGTCATCTGCCCCCCCCTCAACTAGGGAAGCACTAGGGCTATCATTGCTCTAAGGGGCCGCTTCATGGCTCACACTTTGGCCTAGAAACGGTGAGCAGCTTGAGCAGATGACATCGCCTGATCGCGTGGAGGTCATTTGCGTTTAATGTGCAAGCATTTGCCCTCGATGAAGCGGTTCACTGTGCATTGTTGAGGACCGTCGGCTTGTATAGAAGGTGATAGCCTTTCGATAGCTGAATCGGCATTGGCATCCGGCATGCAGTGAGACTTTGAGCGGTCAACAACGTTCTTGTCAAGGTCACTTAACTTGCACATGAACGAGTTGCTGGCCGCTATACGTGTCGCCGTTAGAAGTTTGATATGCGTTTGGAGTTGCATCATGGGACACAGCCACAACACAGCCACACACTCATGTACATTCGGTCGTGCACACACATTCGTAATACACATTTGCATGTACATTAAATGACATGAGTGGCAGTGGTTTCCCCCCGGCAGATGAACATGGGAGTTGCTCGATGAACCCCCTTTCCTTCCAGGGGGTCTACGTCCATCCCCCTCCCTCCTTTGAAGGCGAAAGGGACGGAACGTGGTGATCTCTGGCGCGTGGGAAAAGGTTAGGGTGTGATGGTGTGAGGGTTTAGGGTTAGGGTGTTGGATTGGGGGGACAGTGTTTAGGGTTAGGGGCAGGATGTTAGGGTTTAAGTGTTAACATGTTAGATTTAGTACTTCGGGGAAGCGTTAGGTAGCCAGGGAGAAGTTTAGCGCAGGATGTCGGCATTCGGGTTATGGTGTATGGTGTTTAGTTGTTGGGGCAGAGTTTATTCGTGTGTCAGGGTTAGATGTTGTGTTCATGCTTAGGTTGTTAGGACTAGGGTCTGAGGACGTAAGGTGCCAGCCAGGGTTTAAGTACAGGTTCAGTGTTCAGGGGTACGGGTAGGGTGGTATGGTTTGGGTCTCAGGGTTTCAGGGTTAGGTTTTGAGTTTAGAGCTGTTGTGGGAGTGTAAGGCGTAGGAATTTTGATTATGGTGCTGAGTTTAGGCTTATAGTTGAAGGTTCGGGTTGGGGTGTGATGAATTTTGGTGTCACGGTCAGCGTTTCGGGTTCGGCTTGGGTTGTGAGGTTGGTTTGGGGTTAGAGGCTCGAGTTAGGGTGTGTGAATTTAGAAGATGGGGTTTGGGTATTGGGAATTGGGTTATAGTTTAGGGTTTGGGGTCTGGGTCGGGTTAGACGGGTTCAGTTCGGGTGTTTTTGTTTTGGTATCAGGATCACAGGGGGGAAGGCAAAGACGTTCAACCCTTGTCCCGAAAGGGGGGAAGAGGGGAGGACGGTTCAACCTCAATCCAAAGTGGGGCCGAGGAGGGCTCAAGTTTCCCCCGCACTCGACAAGGAGGAGGTGGTGTACATAGTTGTGATCATTTGATCATTGAGATGCGTTCGCAGTTAAAACTCAAAATGTTCATCACAGGTTTCGATGTTTTCCCTGCACCATCCGATTGGACGCGTTTGCACCTACGTGTTTCCGTAACCTCTACTATGCTGGGTTTTGTCAGTATTTGGGCGCCTTACAGTCGATGCGCATCCCCACGTACTTTATGCGTCTGACCGTGAAGCGACCTCTGCCTACAGTTTTCGTACCCGGGTTGCCCATCCGGCGTCTCGCGCCGCGAGGGCGCCTGGAGGCTTCTCAGGATGGCGCGACCAGCAGAGTCCCCTTTCGCACCGGCCGTAGCTGAGATGTTTCTGCTCTGCCCCGAGGGCGGCGGCCGCCGGCGGCCTCGCCGCGGCGGTCTTGACGCGTGGAGCTGCCGGCGTGGATGTGGCTTCCAGCGCGGAGTGGGTGCCGTCGCTGCCACTGGGAGATGTGTCTGTCGCCTCATCCATGGCCATCTTCATGCGCGGTAATTTCCGAGTTGGAAAAGGTAATGGTACCACAGCTCTTCCTTGGCTTTCGCTTTTTTGGGCTTCTTGGGAGAGCTCGTCGCCATCGAAGTCTTGGTCAGAACGCACCCCAGGAGATGCCATGGGAGTAGTGGTATGGGTACCTTTCCGTTTCTCTACTTCTCATGCGCGGTAAGGTTCTGACAATTCGTTGCGACCATGTTGATTGTCACCATGATGACGATTGGGACGGTGTCCGTGATGTGGTAGCCGTCGAGGTTGCGTACAAGATGGTAAAAGTGAAGATGACGGCCATCATGCAGAACACCGTGGTGGCGATGACCATAATAATGGTACTCATCACGGCAAAGCCCCTTAACCACAATGTCCACGAAGAAGATGTGTCGCCAGGTCCGAAGGACTGGACGTAGGGTACGCTCTGGCCCTTTTGCAGTGCAGCAACAAGTCCGACAAATGCCAAGTCTCATCGGCAACATGAAATGGGACCGAGCGCGGCTTCCTTTTGCAGACCATTCCACGTTCCGTATTATTCTATATAGAGCATGTGCATGTCATTTAGCTCACGGCCCTGGGATTTGATCCTCGAAGATGTATTGTGGTGGTAGACGCCGACGCAGTATGTGTTTTCTCTGGGTGTGGGCCGAGTTAGGGCGCTCGAAGTCAGATCCGGTCAGTTCGCTCGGAAGCGTCGTCCCAATGCCCGACGTCTTCAACGGAGATTGTCCACATTCGATCGAAATAGCTTCAGTGCTTGGACTACAGCACCAGAGGACTGTGTCTCTGTGCGATCTTGATCGCAGAGGTTACCTTGCGATATTCCTCCCATTGCTCTTCTAACCGTAGTGTTTGCTTGGCTCCCCATAGCTTATGGAGTAGACGTAATATCCAGATATTCACATTCCTGCAGCACACCGCGCCGACTCGCCAGCGCAGCAGCGTAGCCACGCAGCAGGTAATGATTTTCGAGGGGATTCCTTGGGGGGGGGCTCGTGGGCCTCGGAGCCGTTTCGATGCGGTAGTTCCACGGAGTTCTCTCACAAAAGGCTCGTAATAACCATCGTGGGGACCTCCGAGCGGGGCCGGGGAGCATCTTGGAGTCCTTTTGGGTTGTTTTGAACGATATTCGGGCCGTCTTGCGTCCATCTTGAGACCTGTCTTCGGCGCGTCTCGGGGCTGTCTGATTTTTTGCCAGACAGATTTGAAGCTGGACAGCCTTGGAAGCAGACACTTTGGAATTCCCTGCGGCTCTTCATTATGTGTTGTTTGCCTCCCACGGGTTTCGAGAGACGCTTGATTGGGGCTCCTTGGTGGCTTCTTGGCGACATGCTGGAGACACCCCAGTGGGGGTCGATGAGTCGTCGTCGGCTGGACCTGAAAAGTATTGCAACCCTCTTTGTAGCGATCTCTCGCCGCCTTGGGCATGGCTGACAACCGAAAATGCCGCATGCTTGCAGCGAGACGGGGACGCATGGTTGAAGGCATGCATAGCGCAGGAGCCATACCAGGCAACCATCTAGTATCGAAGGGCCTTCGGCCCATCCGCCACCTCGCCTGGGTTGTGGGGCGAAAGGCTCGGATTTGCGGTTCGTGTTTCCTCTCTTGTGCCCCTGTTGGGGCCGTGTTTGGTCCCTCGTGGGCCGTCTTAGGCGCCTCTTGGGCCGTCTTGGGGCGTTCTTAGGCCTTCGTGGGGGCCATTTTGGAGGCCTCTTTGGCCGTTTTGCGGTGGTCTTTGGGGCCTCTTGGGCTGTCCTGGAGCGTCGGAAAGCCGACACAGCGAGAACGCCAAAGTCCCACATAAACCGAGGGGGAACTCAAATTTCGGTATTTGGGGTCTGGGCTCCACGCGACGGACCTGAGGATACGCCCACTCCGTGCCCAGAGGCACCGTGCCAGTTTCTGGCACCCCGTTACAGTGGAGACGCGCAACAAACAGCCAGATGTTTTTCTTCGGTGAATCTTGGGTTTCTTCGTTTCCAGCGATGTACGGTTGCGTACCCAGGCCGTTCAGAAATTGTTGCGCCAAACATGTTTTTGGTCTCACCCCCCCAATCACACGTCTCGCATACAGTGGCCCCGCCACCGAAGAAACTTATCTGCAACGGGTCAGTTGAATTGCCAGCAACCGTGCGGGTTATGGTTGCAGATGTCGCAAGAAGCGCGCAAGAATTTCAGGTCGTCAGGGTACCCTCCATGTCTCGAAGCGGGTTGCAGAGTGGTTCAAACAAAACCAATCAAGAACAACAACAGAGAACACATTTCCCCTGAAACTCCCTGGTTTCCTTTCAAGGCGCAGCGACATGGGAAGAACTCCGCTCAAGATCTCACCGGTCTATTCTGATGGTGGCCCGCGAATTTTGCCAGCGCGACCCAGGAAGATACGTTTCGGGCCAGGTGACCGTGGGCTTCTCCAGCTAGAACCCTTGGATCAGACACCCGGGCCCTGGGCATGATATTTTGTAGAGTTTCAGGGTGGTTTTCGCGTCAGGGTTTCTTGCGGCCGCGACCCCATTGTTCTGCGCATGCGTGGTGTCAGATTCTCAATTCCAGCGAGGACTTTTGACACATGAAAGACACATACAGCTGGCTCTGTAGATTCTCCTGGGCAACAGGGGAGATACCGAAGGCATGAGGCACGCCCCTGGTCAGTCAAAGCGTCCAGATCGGAGGTGTTAATCTCCAAACCCAAGCTGAAAACGCTTGGGAGTTGTGTGTAAGGGGGGGCTGCTCTCGATTGTCGAAGGTTGGTGTGCGGCTTTTCTTCATCACATGATGTTTTGTTTCATCTCAAGGGTCTCGCACCGATTGGGCTCGCGATATGGAGGACGCGGAGGAGAAGGAGGAGGATGAGGAGGAAGAAGTTGTGGCATCAGAGAAGCAGGAGCAGGAGGAGAAAAAGGCCGGAAGGGGAGGATACGGTTTCCCTCGTCGCGCGTCCTTCCTAAGGCGCTGTGCAAGCGAGGGTAAACGAGGAAGGGGAAGAGGAGGACGAGTGAAAAGGCGGGACGATCAGGAGCAAGCGGCGCGCTTGTATCTCGCAAGCCCGCGTCCGCCCGTCGGGTCCCGGCAGGTGCTCGGCCGGGTGGACGCGAGCTGCCAGAGGAGGGGTGTGGGGACAGGGACATCGCGTGGGTGGATGGTGAGCAGGGCTACAGGAGGGCCCAGCGCTGGGGAGGAGGGGGAGGCTGGGGGTGAGGAGGGGAAGGGCCAGGGGGAGTCCATTGCAGGTGAGGCCAGGGAGGGTGTCTGGGAGCACGTGTGGTCCCATTCCAGGTTCTTTTCGTTCTGCGGCCTCTCCCGAGATGCCATCCTCGGGGTCTCCTCGCTTCGCAGGAAAGCTCCCAGTGAGGAGTCTCGCCATGCTGGGGGAGGAGGGGTGGGATGGGCCCACCGCCTCCGTGCATCAGACTAGCGTGAAGGGCCAAGAGGAGAAAGATGGAAGGGATAAGAATCGGAAAGGATGGATGAGGAATGGTGGCTAGGGAGGCTGGGGGATGGGCTGGTCAGGTGAGTATGCTTGTCAGGACCAGGGAATCAGGAGAAAGGGCGGCCCGGCGGTCGGCGAAGGAGAGGGGACCAGTGAAGGGTGGAGGCCGGGGCAAGCGAGAGGCGTAGGTTGAATTCACAGTGCCACATCATTTGTTCGTTGCGTTGCGCTTCTCAGACGGAAGGGAGTAGGATGACGATGAGGAGGCACATGGGCATGGTGTGCCAATGTCTCGCTAGGAGGTACATTGCTTATGTTAAGTGTTTTTGTTACCCGGATCCCTTGACGGGATCAAGAAGCAAGAGGACGGAGGAGATGGAGGAGCAGGAGAAGATTTTTGGACGGCGGGTGCCTTGGTCTGCATCCGAGAGCTCATGTGCGCAGGCACGGGGGCGGGAGGGTGTGCTCGGAGCGCAGCCTCATCTGCGACGAGGACGCGTTCCCCGAGAACGAGGAGGATACATGGGCAGAAGGGCCGCTGTGCTCCAACGGGCGAAACCAGCAGTTCCATTCGCATATATTTTCCTCGCGAATGCTGCCTTAGTGCCTTGCCTTGCCTTCTCGGAGTTGGCCCGACGTGGGGCGTCCAGCCGTGTTGCCAGTTCGCTGAGGAGCGGAGTGCACTGGTGCGACCGCCAACGGCGCCGGTGATCGTTAAGCATAATCCAATAGCCCTTATAACGGCGACGATGGAACACAGTGCCGGGGAACTGCTTTGAACATCACCAGTCGTTCAAAGCAGTGCCCCGGCACTGCTTTGAACGCTGCGGAAATGCGATCAGCAGGAGCCTTCGTCTGTTCCTTCTCCTCTTCTCGTCGCTGTATGCTCTTCCTTGTCCTCCCTCCTCCCCCGTTCCCTCTCTAATTAATTACCTCGTTTTCCCAGTCTCACGCGCACTCTTCCTCCCCCCTCTCCTCCTCCTCTTCCTGCTTCTCCTCCTCGTCCTCCTCCTCCTCCGCCTCCTCCCCCTCATTTGTTATATTTCTCCGTTCTTGTCCTCCTGTCCCCGTTCTCCTTCTCCCTCTCCTCCTCCTCCTCCTCGTCGTCGTCGTCCTCCTCCTCTTCCTCCTCCTCCTCCTCCTCCTCCTCCTCCTCTTCCTCCTCCTCCTCCTCCTCCTCCTCCTCCTCCTCCCCTTTTTCCTCCTCCTCCTCCTCCCCCTTTTCCTCTCCCTCCTCCTCCTCCTCCTCCTCCTCCCCCTTCCCCCTCTTCCTCCTCTGCTATCACTCCTCCATAATTCCTGTCCGCTCCTCCCCTTCACTGATCTTCCTCTTCGTCATCATCATCCCTTTCGTCGCACGCCTCTTAATCTTCAATCGGTTCCCAATCTTCTCGACTTTCTTGTCATCCGCGTCCTTGGCTGTTGGAGGGGCCTCAGGAATTCTCAGGGCTCTTGTGTTGCACGCGAAGGCACACCTCCCAGGAACGCATCATCCTCCTCACATTCACCCTCCTCCTCCTCATCCTCCTCCTCCATGCACGTTCGGCTCAAGCCCGCGCCGACGGTAGGTTTCACGGCTGTTGGGCGGGCTCGCGCCCGCCTCCGCGGCCTGCAGTCGGGGCAGAGATGCGTGCAGGGTGGGATGACAAAGCGGAAGAGGAAACACGGGCCGCAGTTGCGGATTCTTCAAAGAGCAGCGGCGGCGGTTGGGGAACAAGTGGGGGTTGGGGCGGCCGCAGTGGCGGATACGGCGGCGGAGGTGACCGCAGTGGCGGCTGGGGCGGCGGAGATTCTCTTGGCGGTTGGAGAGGAAAAGCGCAGGATGGCGGCGACGGAAGTGACCGCAGTCGCGGATGGGAGGGCGGCGGATGGGGCGGCAACGGATGCGAGGGTTGGGGAATGGAGGGCGCCCGCTGGTGGGACGACGAGGGTGGCTGGTGGAATGCCTGGGAAGGTGGCCGCTCGAGTGCCTCGGCAGGTTCTCCTGCCGCGGAGCCCGCGGCCGCAACAGCGGCGGGCAAAGGAGGCGGTCCCCTGCTTCCCCCAGGGCGCGAAGAACAAGGCGCAGTTGCGCTGTTTCAAATTGTGCGCAATGAGACGCTGCCAATTTTCAAGTTGGAATTCTTCGAGAACTTCAGGGCGAACTGGAACGGCAATTATAAGCAGCACAACGCGGCCTTGAAGTGGTTCCGAGACGAGTACGAAGACCGAGAAAACCCTTTCGGCAGCCGCACGCCCGTCTTCAGAGGTACCGCAGTTGCGGAGGAAATTTCGAAGATCCTTAAGTACCGCGCAAAGGGGAAGGCGCAGGGCAACAGGGATTGGGACTGGGACCACACTGTCAAAGTGCCGTGGTCTTGGCTGGAGATGGTCGCGCAGATGGATGGACCTACAATGCTGCGCGTCGTGTGCGGCCCTGACAATGACAGCAGTCGCGGGTTGGTCCGCTGCGAGTGCCGCCCGTGCCCTAGCAGTCTCGACAACATGAGGCACACGAAAGGGGTGGACAGAGGACAGGCGCAAAGAATCCCTCTGCCCCAGTGGGATTTCGTCCTCATCCGCGACGACGGCTCGGGCATTCGCGTCCGCCCATCCTGGTCTAGCCCGAAGTTCAACACGTATGAGGTGGAGCCGCACTCGCATCCCGTGCGGGGCCCGAGGGCAGGTCTCGGCAAGAGCGATGGCCACGGAACGTTCACGTTCTGGAAGATGCTGCACGCCCATCCGAATCCTGGCGGTTCGACGCGAGCAAGGGGGCGCAGCTGCAACCGCGGTGGTCCGCGCAGCCTTGACACCGCAGTTGCGGGATTGCGCAGCCATGGAACCGCAGTTGCGGGGACCGATCGCGTGACGCCGCGCTCGTTTGACTCACTATGCGCGCTTTCGGCCGCAGTTGCGGCGCTGCCTTCTAGCGACTTCATACAGCTTGGCCGCAGTTGCGGCGATCCCACGACTGACCGCTGTAATTAGGTGCTTCGGGCGCGCATCACCTCCGTTGAAGCACTCGTGACGTTAATTAGCGCGGCCGCAGTTGCGGAGACAGGTACTTAAACAGATTGATCCGCAGTTGTTCGTCGTCCTCGTCGCCCCTTCCCCGTCGTCCTCGTCGCAGTCTCCTCCCTCCGCCTTTCCTCCTCGTCGCAGTTCCTTCCGTTGGCCGTAGCCCGCCTCCGTTGGCCGAGTCATTTCCCGTCGTCTTCGTCGCAGTCCCCCCCGAGGGCCGCAGTTGCGGACTTTGTTGATTCCTCCTCCTCCGTTTCTGCCCCGTCATCCTCGTCGCAGTCCCCTTTTTTTTTGTTTGGTTTTTGTTTTTTTTTTTTTTTTTTTTTTTTTTTTTATTTTTTTTCTTTTTTTTTTGTTTTTTTTTTTTTTGCTTTATGATCCTTTCACCTTTTTTTTTTTCTTTTTCTGTCGTTTTATATTTTATTTTTTTTCGTTCTCTTCTTTTTCCTTTTTTTTTTTTTTTTTTTTTTTCCGTTGTTTTTTTTATCCTTATTTTTGTTTTTTTTTTTTTTTTTTTTGTTTTTTTTTATTTTTTTTTTTTTTTTTTTTTTTTTTTTTTATCTTTTTTTTTTTTGTTTTCCTTTTTATATTTTTTTCTTTTCCACTTTTTTCTCTGTAGTTTCTTTTTTTGTTTTTTTTTTCGTTTCGTCTGAGCTCTTCGCGCCATCCTCGTCCGTCGCGTCCTCTCCATCCTCCTCTTCGCCTTCCTCGTCCTCATCCCCGCCGTCTCCCTCGTTGCCCTTCCTCTCCCAAGCCGGCCGCAGTTCCCCCGTCGGACGGGGGCCGCGCGCGGCCACGCCATGGACCCAGGTCGCAAAGCCGAGGTCGACAAGCGGTTCGCCGAGCTGAAGCAGCAACTGCGGGAAAGGTTCGGCCTGCAAGGGGCTGCCGCGGATGCCGCAGTCGCGGAGCCGACGGAGGACCGCAGTAGCGGAAGCCCCGAGCGACCGCCGCGCGAGGCCTCCCCGCAGTCGTCTAGCTCCTCGCGGTCGGCCATCGAATATCGGCCGCCGCCGCCGATAAGCGCTGCGAGTGGGAGCTCTGCGGGTGGGAGGCGCGAAGAGGCGCAGTTGCGCAGGGCGCACTTGACCCCCAAGGCAAAATGGGGGCCTCGGGCGCAGACGCCGACGAAGCAGCAGGACAAACCAGCAGTGACGGGAGCCGCCACCGAGACCGCAGTTGCGGGGGTGGCCGGCGAGCCAGGTGCCGCGCGCGGCTCATCTGGGAGCAGCGCGCCCTCGGCCGTGCTGCTCGCAGCCGAGTCCAAACGAGGCGCCCAACCCGAAGACGAGGCCGCCTCACAGGAGAAAGCCGCCGAGACAACCGCCTCGGCCGATTCGCGGCCGAGGAAAAGGCCGCCTCCCACGGAAGACTCGCCGCTGTCAGAACCGCAGTCGCGGGGTCGCGCGGGGCCTCCGTCGGAACCGCAGTTGCGGGAAGATGCGGGAGCACCGCGGAAGAAGCAGCGGACCAGGCCCCCTCCAGGGATAAACTACTTTGGGGAACGCCCCAAGTGGAACGAAGGATTCCTTCGTACAGAAGACGGCAATCGGGTTCCGTCCACCATCGCTTTGGTGTTCAACGTGGTGGTCATCACGAAGGTGGCAACAAAGCAAGATGTCTTCAGGTGCATCTTGCACCAAACTGCGGCGGTCGTCTTCGTCGTATGGGACCCCGAGCTGTTCCGCACGGGGAACGTCGAAGGCGCTTGCAGCTACGACGTTCCCGTTGGACTCAGGACTGCCGTCGAAGACGCTGTCATTTTGAAAAACAACACCGCGGAGCCTTACTGGACGACGGTTGCCCTGTTCAGAGACACGGGCGTGGTGCTCGTGCGCCCGCACATCATCGCAGAGACCGAAGTTGCGGGTCATGTTGTTGGGGCCACCCACGCCGTCACGATCCTGCGCTTTCGCCTGAAGGGCTCCGACATGAATCCTGCCGCGTTGATCCGTTTTGCCGTCGTGTCCAGACACGCAGTCACCGAACGTCTCCAACAGAAGATCACGCAAACAGAACAAACAGCGTGGCAGCCAGGTTTCTTCAAGGTCGCGGTTGCTTCCATCCATAAAAATGATGTGCGGTTCTTGTGCGGCCTGTTTGATTTTTGTGTTTGTTTTTTTTTTTACCATGTTTTGTTTTTTTTTTTTTTGTATTTTTTTTTTGGTTTGTTGTTTGTTGTCTTTTTGTTTGTTTGACATCCGCCTGAGCAGCTCGCAGCATTTGGCCGCAGTTGCGGAGCCAGATACACCTGCCCGGTGGGGGTGGCGTTCAGGGCTGGACCCGCCCTTATTTTTAGTGTATGTTTTTTGTTTAATTGTGTTTTGTCTTGTCTGTTTCCTGTGTTGTTGTTATGTTGTGTTTGTTTTTGTTTTCCACGTGTTGTGTATTTTGTTGTTTGTTTGATTTCTGTTTCGTTCTGTGTGTTTATCGCTGATTTTTCGTTCTTTTTTGTGTTGTGTTGTTTCGGAGGCCTTGTGGAGGGCACACGCGTCATGCATCCAAATTACGTCCT